GATGATACCCACATAAAATGTTCGTTCTCTCATACAGATACAACAACTGTGGTTACATTATTAAATGAAGATCTTAGTAATTTGACAAATGAAAGCACAGCACATCAGTTATCTGTAAATCCAACCAAGTCAAATGTTTTATTGTTCGGGAAACACAAAAAGAGCGTGGCAGATTAATTCCATTGTTCAATTAATAATAATGTTATTCCTCATACATCCGCTACTAGGAACTTAGGCTAGATTATGGATATTGACCTGAGGTTTTCAGAGCATTTGATTATGAATAGTGACCTGAGGTTTTCAAAGCATGTTGATAAGTGTATTGGCCGTGCTTGTGGTCTGCTTAGAATGTTATTTCCACATCGTCATATCTTTTCTGCCGAACTTAAGGCTTTGCTTTGTGACATGCTTGTTCTGTCATTATTCAATTTCTGCGACTGAGTTTATGGGCCTTGTATAACAAGGTATGATGTTGATCGTATACAGCGTGTCCAAAACTCTTGTCTTAGGTTTATTTTTGGAGTGAAAAGATTTGAACATATTTCTTATAAGTTACCTGTAATAAGATGGCTAAATATGGAACCTAGGAGAAATCTGCACTGTGCAGTTTTGTTTCATGAAATTATTCTCTATGAAACACCGCCTTATTTATATAATAAGATTACATTTCGAAGTGATGTTCACAATATCAATGTTTGGTATCGGAAGGTGATTTCTCAACCACGTCATCGTACATCTATGTTTAACAGATGTTTTTCTCATTTTATCTACCACTTGTACAATCACGTCCCCACAAAGCTTAAGTCTGTGTCTGTGTCAGCTTTCAAAAGAAGTTACAGAAAATTTCTATTAGACGAATTGTAGTGTTTACTTTATATTGTTCCATTACTTTTTATATTTTAAGTGTTTTTTTTTTGTTAAATCTGCCTAAAATGATTTGACCTTTTTCGTTAAATTATATTTTTCATATAATTTCTTTATACAGGGTTATCCAAATTAAGTGTCCACCATTAGTAACTTTGTTATTAGTGAAAATACAAAGTTATTTGAATTAGCAAACTAGTAGCATTTTTAACGCTGGTAAAAATGAGAAATAAATAAAAACAATTGAGAGTCGTTATTTTGATTTTTTTCAGTAAAATAACATTTTTTTAAATGGAAACCCCTGTATATTATATTTTTTTCTGTTAAAGCATCAAATTTTAAACAAAAAAGCTTACAATAACTTTTCTCCTAGGTTACAAATTGTTGAAGTTATGGCCTCCAATCTGAAACAATTAAATTGTATCGACAAACTTTATTTTCAACATCAACTTATAATCTTACAAAATACAATAACAATTTTTTTTAAAGAAGATGCTCGAAAACACCACCTTGTTCTTCAATACATTTTTGGGCACGTTTTTCAACTGCTCGAACTGTCTTAAGTATGGTCCTACCATCTATCTGGGTTATCTTTTCCCTAACTGTAGTCTTTAACGCGTCAAGGTTATCGTACCTTCGCTTGTAAATTTAGTTCTTTAAGTAACCCCACAAGAAGTAATCAAGTGGGTTTAGATCTGGTGATCTGGGAGGCCACTGTATTAGGCCATTTGTTCCTATCCACTGATCATTAAATGTAGTACTTAGAAAATGATAAGTACCTCTGGAGTTGTGGGCAGGTGCGCCATCTTGCTGAAAATGCAGATGATGTCTACTTATAAGATCCAAATCGTCTAAGAAATTAGTCAGAATTTCTGACATAAATTCCACATATCTTTCACCAGTTAGGGTTCCCTCATAAAAGAACGGGCCAACAATTTTTGAACCAATTATACCGCACCAAACGTTGAAACTGAAACGGACTTGTGGGCCTCTTGGATGTACTAACAAAAGATTTTCTCTTGACCAATAATGGTGGTTTTTTCTATTAAACATTCCAGAATTTGAAAAATTTGATTCATCTGTCCATAAAAGGTAACGAAAGTTATTTACATTTTGGCGACAGAAGCTAAGATACCAATGGCAAAAAACAAGTCTTCTCTCTGGATCCCCTGCCAAAAGCGTTTGAACTGGTCGGTACTTATACGGAATAAATTTGTATTTTTTTAAAATCCTTTGAACAGTACCATAACTGAAATTAGAGTCCTTGAGAATATCTGCTATTGAATTCTCACGATAAGCTTCAAAATATCCAATAACTGCAATTTCCGTGGCCTCGCTTATTATGAATTCTTTTTTTGCCCTTGTTTTAGCAAAAACATTTTCGTTGCCCCTAAATTTTCGCTAAAGTCTCAGAAAATATCGTTCAAACGGTTGAATGCGAGCGGGATATAATTCACTGTAGTATTCTCTTGCTCTCAAGGAGGATTTTCTGCACACTAAATAGCATTCTAACATATCACACTTTTCTTCATGGGAGAACATTTTTCTTTAAATTAATGACACAATAAAGCTTATAAACAAGTATTTACACTAATGTTTGACATTATTTGATTTTATCATTGTTTTCCAAAGCCTTCTAGTTGCGAGTATGTCCAGTTTAACAATTTGTCGCTTATCTTAATGCTGTCAAATCGCGAACGCCATGTTGTTTTCACAACCGTCTTAATATTATAATACTGCAAATAATTAAAAATATTTATCGTTATTTTGACTTTATTTTTGACTTTAGCGGAAAAGTCATTATGAACTTTTTTGTTTAAAATTTGATGCTTTAACAGAAAAAAATATAATATACAGGGGTTTCCATTTAAAAAAATGTTATTTTACTGAAAAAAATCAAAATAACGACTCTCAATTGTTTTTTTTTTTATTTCTCATTTTTACCAGCGTTAAAAATGCTACTAGTTTGCTAATTCAAACAACTTTGTATTTTCACTAATAACAAAGTTACTAATGGTGGACACTTAATTTGGATAACCCTGTATACATGTATTTTTTTGACGTTTGTAATTATTATTTATTAATTATTAATCGTAACTTATATAATTTGGTTAAGAACTCCTCTGTTATAATTTTGTTTGTTGGGCTAGTACTTCGTTCAGCTCGTCTGTTTACTAGTTCCTTTTGGAGAGAATTCATGTTGTTTCTTCATTTTTAATTGTTTCTCTTTGTATTTTTTTACTCTGCAAATAAACGCTATTATTATTATTATCATTATTATATAGCGTCGGGCTGTCGTATTGCCTCTGATGAAAAATAGTGGTGATCTGATACCATAAGCAATAACACCCCATATCATAACTCCTACGGTGTGGTGAACCTGACGCTGCCTGTCAAATTGTGGGTTACGTCTTTCACCACGTCGCCTTCCCACTCTTGCCCGATCATCGTGCATCCCCAGACAGAAGCAGGATTCGTCACTAAAGAATTGTTTTTCTAGTCTTATCCGGCGATCTTGTCCAGGGGGGTGAAACTCATATGAGCGAATGGGAAACAAAGCAGTGTTGCGGGTGCACAATATGACAACCATGTCACACCCTCAAAAAATGGCGGCTTATTCACAAGTGACGCTGTCTGATTGGTCAGATTTAAATTTCCGGCGGGTTTCTTCCTGTAGCTGTGCTTTGCAAAAATAACCTTACTTCGCAAGCCATTTTCGTTTCTTCTAAGATAAACATTTCATTTTGATTCAAGTCCCGATTATGTTATTTGAGACATATGCCTTTTGTTCAGAGTTAAAGTATAAAAATGTAAGTACCCAAAGCTGTAATATATTTGTAAATATTATAAGACAAACTCCAAATCAAAACTGTTGTAAGGTGATCCCAGTCAGTAGCCAGGCTTCTGCAGATGCTGAGGAAGATCAGAGATGCAGCGGTTACTCATTTGACGAGTGTAATATGTGGAATCTCCACATAACTTTAACACAGATTACTTGTGATCTATTCAGAAGGCACAGCTCTGAAGGATATTTACAGAGAATATTTGTAAGTTTTTATATGACTCAATAACCAGTGATGATTTATACTGCTTTTTGTCCAAAGTAGTTTCCATACTTCATTTTAAATCATCTATTCTTAGATCAGCAGGGCGGTTTCAGATGGGCCGTGGTCTCTTCTGTGAATCCACGTTGACTTTAAAATTTGCATATTTAGCATTTCAGAATTTTGTAGAATTTGTCCCCCCTGGGAAAATTGCTACTTCTGCTCATCAAGAAATTTTGGGTACAAGTACAATTTCACAAAAAGTTATGTCTTGATGATGATAAGCACCACTGGGAAAAATTCCTGTCGGTAACCCTGGACAATAATATTATTGTTCTGATAAAAAAAGAAATCTGAATTGTTGTAACATATCAATACAGTTCAAGTTCTTCTTAATTTTTTACTTATGCAGGTGCCAACAAAGGCTGGGAAATGAAAACATCTGGACCATAACAATGTTAATACTGATTTGTTTGTAGAAATATGTATGAGATTTATATAATAAATATATATTTAGGTATTTGCAGTATATGCTTTTCTTCTGAACCTTTCCAGATTAGTAAGTAGATATGAGTATTTGATGTTGCTATTTTAATACAAAAGATAGCGCAAAATGTTAATAACACATGCTGTTATAAGATCTACCATATCCCACTAAATTTCTATAGATGAAGGTACAGCAATCTCAGATTTATATGTAGAGCTGGCAACGTTGAGGGCTATTAATGCACAATCTGGCAACCGTGTCGCACCCTCAAAAAATGGCCGCTGACAACCACATAAGTCACCGTGTTGCCATTGAATAGCATGGAATTAAACCTTCTTCAGTGTATATGTTTTGTGATCTTGTCGCTCTGTGGTCCCACTGGGAGGTCCAGAACACCGAATGCTTCATCACCAAACAATTCACGCAGCCACCTGAAAAACTTAACAGAAAAACCTGACCATTCTATCATTTGTTGTTCATGGCAAGATAAATCGATATATAAAAAATTCTTGAATTCTAATAAACATACGTAGGTGTTTACCTTTTGTTGTCACTCAGTATATTATAATAATGCCCTCACCAGAGCATCGGGAGAAAATCATGAGTCACAAGATATGCTTGAATTAAACAAAAAATATCACCCGTGGTGAGCTAGAGGTCAACAGTGAAATAATAAACAGAAACTTCTGCTGACAATCGAGACCCTGAGACGCATCGTTTACAATTTGCAAAATCAGCGAATATAGGCAATGGCACAATAAAAATAAAATATAATAGCGACTATAAACATATGAATAACAGTTAACGGAACATCCTCTCGCGAAAATTTCAATGATGGTGGTACCTTTGGAAACACCCGCATTACTTTACATAAAATAACTTTCTTTTGTTTGCTTTCTCGGTAAATTTTCAGTGTAGTTCAAAGTGTACCAGTGTTCAGCTGCTATCATGAACTTTACCACTACAGAACCACCAGGTAAGTTGTTTTTGAAGTGCTACGTCTAGCTTAGATTACTGTAAAAAGAGGCTTCAAAGAAATTTAATTCTAATCTTCTGAAAAAAATGATTAAGTACAACTAAGAAGATCGCCAACTCCTAAAAATGCTAAAAGTGGCCGAAGATTTTACCGGGTGTTTCAAATTCGGCCCCCATTGGAATCCCGAAAACGATAAGATATTGCTTAAATAAACAAAATGCCGCTTAGAAAGTTTCGTGATTCGAAGTACTTCAGTGTCCCTATTCTTGACTTTAATAGAAAATCACACTCCCTCTCTTTTTACTGTATTTTTGAAAGGACTGAATGGAAAGGAGAACGGAAATCAAGACGCAGGGTTGCCAGGTTTGAGGAAACGTGTTAAACCAATCAAAATGGAGATAATTTTGACAGTCAAAAACTAACCAAAGATTTTGGTCAAGATTTCCTCTTTATAATTTTATCTATGCAGCCGAATACTTTAAAAAAGCACATTACAAATGAACAAAAGGACAAAATGATTTGAATGAATTTCTCCGAGAGCACCCCCAAATGCACCAGGGAAAATTCAATCATAGATTAAAAGATACTGTTTTAGAATGACTAAACCTTAATATTTACTCTTGCCTTTGTTTTGGTTGAAAGTGCAGAAGCTCGTTGGGGTGATTGTGTGAATGGAGTCAACATCTCCAGCAATTCATACACCAAATCTTTGGTCAACCTGTACAATTTTTCGATCCGCAATTTGAAAAGGGTCTCGGTGCCCAAGAATCTCTCCCAATCCCCCATTCCTTAATTGCCTTCTCTACATCCTCGTTAATTACGAGCCCCTTCCCACTTCAGTTGGCCCATTTTAAGATTTGTACCAAAATATGCCTTTATAAACTAAATATGACGAAACTATTTACTTCTAAAACAATTTATTTTCTCAAAAACATTTTAGGTACACTCTAGTCTTAAAAAATACATATTTGATATATTAGACCTATAACTAATAGAACATCTGAACAAATCAACAATGTGCGAATAAAAGTTAACAAAGCAACAATTGAAAGATTACCATTGGGTAACATCACCTTTATTTTTTATTACGACTGAAATTCTTTGGGGCATAGTATTAACCAAGTTTTGGCAAAAATTTGGTGTAAAACAATCCCATATTTCTTCAAGCTTTTGTCTCAGTTCGGTGATTGTACGAGCAGGATGTGGTCGTAGAACCATTTTCATGTCGTGCCACAAAGTTTCAATAGGTGACAGATCTGGACTGCTAGACACCCATTCCAAAAGTGGTACGTTATTCTCTTCTATCCATTTTATAACCTTTTTTGAGGTATGGCACGCTGCACCATCTTGCTGAAACACAAAATCTTGGCCGGCTGTCAAACATTCTTCCATCACTGGTGAAAGGGATTCTTCTAAAATTGCCAAATATTTGTTTGTATCCACATTTCCATCAATAAAATGAAGTTTTCCTACTCCTTTTGATGACATACGGCCCCAGACTATAATGATGCTGGAAATTTCACTTTTCTCTTCAGACAGTCAACATCGAATGCTTCATTTTTTGCGAATAACTCTACTGCGACTGTCACCAACACAAACTTCGAATCGGGCCTCATCACTCCATTGTGTTGCACACCATTGTTGAGGTGTCCATTGTCTATGTTCTTTAGCCCATCTAAGCCGATTTTTCTTTTGCAGTGGAGTTAATAGTGGCTTTTCTTCGGCCTATAAACAAGTTGTGCAACTTTAGGGTTTTTACTTCACTTTTTTTTATAAGAAAACTTACCTTGCAAGTGCTAAATCCCAGTTTGTGGCCTCACTATGAGTTGTGGACCTCGAAATTCTCCTTCCAACAGCGTCACTCCACAGAGCACATAATTGTAAATAATTGGCACGCCTGTTTTTCACGATTATTCTTCTTAATGCTCGTCTGTCGGCATTTGTGATATTACTGTTTTTCACATATCGTGGCTTAATATTAACTGAACCAGTTACGTTATATCTTCTAACAATATTTCTCACACTGCACCACGATAAGTCTAACAAAGTTGCAATTTCTGAGTTAGATTTCTCAGAATGCAAATTTGATTAGGGAGTGATAAAGTTAGTGTTTTCTACTATATATTATCAAAATATTCATTGTTAATATTTTAAACCTATAAAACCCTGCTACATTTTTATTATTTGTGTTTGATAAGAAAAAAATAAGATTTCAATAGTTGGGCCAACTCAAGTGGGAAGGGGCTCGTATATCATTCCAATATATGAATTGATTGAAATTATCAAATGTTTGCAATATGTTTAGCAGGAACGACAATAACAATAACAAACTCGCAATTTTTACGTTATATAGCACTATTTTCTACTAATTTTGCCAGTTTCTCTTGGTCGGTACCAAGAGAAATCGCTACTCCCTAAAGTGAACTCATTTCTATCACATTTCGGTAGAATTGATTTCACGAATACTGCATTTCGTGGCCACACCCACTTTTTGCCACTTTCTCTCACAATTTCTGCTCCCTCAAATTCAAGAATAGACGTCCTGGAGAGTAATACTAAACACCAGATTTTCCCAAAATCATTTTAATTTCTTCGTGACTTTATTAGTAGTGGAATCATAAAATAAATTGCACGTTAACACTGCCACTTTTTTCCTCTACGAAATGCCATAATAAGACGTGTGAAGTTTCATCTATTGTCCTCCAGCATATGGATGCTACAAATATGTTGGAATTCTGTACATTTAAATACTACTAAGAATAAATATTACTTTAATTAAATAGATGAAGTTTTATGTCGCATAAATGGGTGTATTATATTCATAACTAAATTCAGAATCAAAGATTGTGTTCGATTGCACAAAATTTCAATACGCCCTTTCAATATGGAGTCCATAAGAAACGTCCACGTCTTCTTGTAGAGGAGAAACAGTGGCAATTTATTTGAAAATCCCATTTCAAATAAAACCAAGAAATAAACAACGATTTTGCTGTAAACCCGGTATACGAAACAAATGACTATTAGTCTAATCATATTAGACGAAAATACCGTGGTTTGCAAAATAATTTTGAAGTCTGGTTTTATTGATGCAAATTGTTCAAGGGGGTATTTAAAACATATACGCATAAAATTGAAAGTGTTGGCAGGAACAAATGAGATTCTTAGGTATTTTTGAGACCTACAGAATGAGACCACGCGTAAAAACATCCCACTAACATTTAACCAATTGCGAGAGTATTTGAAACAACCGATACAGTGCTTTGTGATTCTTCAAAAATGAAATGTTAGTATTTAGGCAGCAGCGGTGGCCGCAGTAGTAGACTCTTCGGTCTCCTGATCAGTCGCCGTGCGCTGTGCGGGTTGGAATCCCGTCCCAGGAGAAATTTTTCGCTTGGCTATGGATGTTGTGATTGTCCGTTGGTGATAGACGGTCTCTGACTGTCGAATGCAGAAGTACCACCCGGCGGATCTAGTAGGCGGAGCCAGAATGTGTGCATGTTGCATGCACACGTGTTCCCTCGCCAGAGTCCGTGTGGCGTTCCCCCTTTCCCATGTATCCCCCTATAGCCCCACGGTACCCAATGGGTGCTTAGGCCTTAGGCCTTCGTGGTGGTTGGAGTATAAAAAAAAGTCATGCCCGAAAATCGAGGCAAAATGCAGATTTTACGTTATTATACACATTTTAAAACAAAGCGAAGAAAAAAATTACATTTAGTGCTTTTTGGAACCTAATATCGGTTATCTTAAAGCTTTGGTATACGAGGGATATCTTTTAAGTTTTGCATATGGAAATAAAACAACACAATAGGTAGTTTTAAATGACTTTATTGTTTTTCGAAGTTTTCTCCACGAAGATTAATACACGCGCGGGAACCAATTTTCGAAGCACTTATTCCACTCGTTTGGTGGCAGATCCAAAACGGCATTTTTGAATGCGTCAACTGCTTCTTCTGGTGACTGGAACTTTTGACCACGCGGTCTGTTTTTAAATTTCGGGAACGTAAAGAAAGTGGTATACCAATCCGCAGTAACAGTTCTTTGCTCATTAAGAGGAATTGTTGCAATATGACCCGCTTTTGACACAAATGTCGCGACCATCTTTTTCGAAACACTTCGAGAACAGATAACTTTTGTTGGCTTTTCTTCACCTTGGAACACCCAAACAGCCGACTGTCGTTTATTTTCTGGTTCATAACAGTAAATCCACCATTCATCACTACTAACAATGCTGTACACATTTTTTGAGTCTTCGGAATTGAAACGGTCAGGCGTTGTTTGACACTATTTAACCCTGGCTGCATTCTGCTCTTCAGTCAACAGGTGGGTATCCAACGAGAAACTAGATTTTTTGAATTCAGATCTGTGAGATCTTCAAGGACACCTCAATCTCGCGATATGTCACATGTCTATCTTCATCTTCAATGATGAGTTTGCGCACAGCATCGACGTTTGTCTGGGTGACTGCCGTTTTTGGTGCACCCACCCTGAGATCGTCGCTAAGACTCACCCGTCCACGTTTGAATTCTCCATACCAACGGGAAATTTTCGACTGATGTGGCGCTTCGTTGCCGAAAACAGACAGTAACTCAGCAAGGCATTCTTGTTGCGATAATTGTCTCTGAACGTTGTAATAAATTATGGCGCGAAAATGTTCTCGGTTGAGTTACATGTTTCTAATCACTTGGTGACACTTAAAAATTCACTGTAGTGAGAACTCTGCACGTATTGTTGTGAAACTTTGAATTTAAGTTTACTAAAGAATGAGGTTAAGATTCAGTACTGACATTCGATCCGCGCGGCTTACTATGTTTCTATATGCAAAACTTAAAAGCCATCCCTCGTATATGTTATTAAAAAACATGCTTAATATTGCCTGACCTATACGTTATGTAAAGGGAAGTCCCAACTTTGGAGACACCCATCAGTTTTTCGATTCTACGGGAAAATGTTCGACAACGAGTGGCTTGGTCATGAAGTTTTGAAACCGCTTATAAAATGGGTGTCAATACTGTATATGATTAAAGACCAGGGCCCAATCACATCACAAACTAGCTTTCGCAGATTTGTCATATACTAAGTGACATATAAATCCGAACACCCAGTTTAAATGGTTTTATTTTAATAAAAGTTGGTGAATGTATTTATCTTACTGTAGATAACAAGTGAAAAAATTTTCAGCCTTATCAGTTGGACATTTCGGTTTTTATACTGCTTTTTTTTAATTCACTAACGCTCTAAAAATGAATATTTCAGCCGCAGTAAAGAATCAACGTTGGCGGATTTTGGTTCTTGACATCCTTTACGATCGGTTACGATGCCTAGAGTACGGAGACCTGTACAATTTCGTCAACTTAGTGAGTTTGATAGGGGCCGTATAGTGGGACTTCGGGAAGCTGGACTTTCTTTTCGGGCAATTGCAGTTAGAGTGCAAAGAAGTGTAGACACTGTGGTTAGGTGTTGTCAGGCATGGCTTCGAGAAGGCAAGACGCAAAGAGCAAGGGGCACTGGACGCCGCCGTAGAACAACAGACCGTGAAGATCGCCGCCTAAGATTATTGGCCTTAAGGGACCGTTTCTCCACTACCAGGTCCATTGCAAATGAATGGTTTGCAGAACACGGAAGACCTATTGGCATGCGAAGTGTTTACCGACGAATGAGAAGTTTTGGCATGTTTTCATACCGGCCACACTGGGTCCTCCCTTTAACTCGAGAACACCGACGTAATCGGCTTGAGTGGTGCAGACAACGGTCACTCTGGGATCAGGAATGGAACAGTATTGTCTTTAGTGACGAATCTCGATTTTGTTTAGGCATGCACGATGGTCGTGCCAGGGTTAGAAGGCGACGTGGTGAAAGGAGGAATCCACAGTTTTTTGTTGAAAGACATGTTCATCACACTGTTGGAGTTATGGTTTGGGGTGCTATAGCTTATGGTTCCAGGTCACCTTTAATCTTCATCAGAGGTAACATGAACGCGCAGCGTTATATCCACGAAGTTCTAGAACCCCATCTTTTACCCTATCTTGACACATTGGCAGATCCAACTTTCCAACAAGATAATGCCCGACCACATATTGCAAGAGTCACAATAGACTTCTTTCAACATAATGATGTCACATTGTTACCATGGCCACCAAGATCTCCCGACTTATCCCCAATTGAGCACGTGTGGGATATGATGGGTAGGAGATTGCTCAATTTGCAACGTCCTCCTCAGACTCTAGAAGCACTTCGAGAGGAATTGGTGGTTGCCTGGAATGGGATACCACAGGAGGACATTGACCACCTGATCAGAAGCATGCCTAGGCGCGTTGGAGAATGCGTAGCACATCAGGGTGCATCCACACATTATTTAAGGTCAAAGGGCTTTAAAGCAGTGCAATCATTTTGAAATTTTTATCATTTACTTATTATGCTTCATTAAGTACTTATACAAAATTTTATTAAAATAAAACCATTTAAACTGGGTGTTCGGATTTATATGTCACTTAGTATATATTATTAAATATTTGAGAATATGAACATTGGTGCTAACTGCCGGATTAACAAATAATTCTAGGTGCCTAGTTGGTATCAGAAAAGAGGTACTAAGAATCACAGCTTAACAACTTTTGAAAAGTGTGCCTAAACTAGATAACTATGACTATGTTCATTTCCACTCTTTCAATTCATGGGATCTTCGCGCTTCTCGAGAGTGCAGATTTTTCGAAATATTCGGCCATCGTTTAAACTTTCAGTTTTTTGGCTGAATAGTCTAATCATATTAGACGAAAATACCCCTGGTTTAGGAAATTATTGTAGTCTGGTTTTATTGGTGCAAGTTGTCCAAGGGGGTATTCAAATCTTGGACGCATAAAATGAGTACACCAATTTTTATTCGACAACAGAGAATGAGAAAACTCTTCGTATTAGATTTTTAGGTATTTACGAGACCTACAAAATGAGACCACACGTAAAAGGATCCGACTAATATCAAAAATGTTATGCCCGAAAACCAAGGCAAACTGCGGGTTTGGCACTTGGCAATGCGACGATAGTATCTCGCAGATATTTGAAATTCTTCAGTTCTTTATTTTAATTAGCTAAATAGGCAACTTCGTCCCATTTAAGCGACTTCGTATCTCTTATGGATTCCGAGATTCCAATGGTGAATTTAAAACACTTGGTATACAAAATAAGTGGTCAAAGTCATTGAAATTTCCAAAAATACAAAGTATTCATGGCGATTAAAAACTGTATAAAGTATCTTTTCTTTAAATTCTAGTGGTTCCCTTGACCGAGACGCTCCATCGTCAACCAAGATTTGGCTACATACCTCTTCTAGCAATTTTCCTCTCAAATCTTCTATCAAACACCGCAGTGGCAAAATTCATTCCACTTGGATCTCTCAGACTATCATACGATCCATTACCACTTTTGAGACCTGCATCGTCATTTCAACAACAATATGGCTCAGAAGAGTCTCAACATGTTTATCATCATCAGCCTGCTATCCACCAACAGCAAATTGTAAATATTCTTGACCATAAAAGACCTACAGAGATTGTGGTAGAGAGTGGCACAGAAGAACCAACTGAGAGTTCTACAGAGCACCAAGTTTATAGAGACGATGAGTTAGAGAAACCTGCAATCGAGGATATCAGTGACAAGTCAGCCAGGGTTCTTTTTAAACGAGGAATTGCTGGCGATTATGGAGTGAAATCAGCTCCGATGAGTTTTGAGCAAGAAAATGGCTCCAATTATCCAAAACAGGAAATTTCAGGAGCTGATATCAAATATGATACAATAAGGAGCTCTGAAGTAAGCAAAATTATATCAAAAAGATCTCCTGCCAATGATAGGATAAGCAAGAACCAGTATGCTGATCAACAGAATAACAGCAACTTCCTGAGTCAAGACTACAAAGAGTCTAGTTCTAAGCCACCACAGCTCAATTTAGGTAAGATAGATGGAAAGATAAATAGAATCCCAGCTATATTATTGGTAGAGCGTACAGCTCATGCTAAAGACGCAGGAAGTGACAGTTATGAAACGCTCACTATGAAAGCAGGAGAAAATCTTGAGTCGCAAGATATGATTGAATTGAATAAAAATATCACCCGTGATGAGCTAGAAGTCATCAGTGAAATAGTAACAGAAACTTCTGCTGAAAATCAAGATCCTGAGGATTATCGGGTGCAATTTGCAAAATCAGCAATTGAAAATATAGACAACAACATTCTTGTAAACTCAAAAGTAGATAGTCTAAAGAACGAACACGAAAAAGCTGATGGTCAAAACATGGAACAGGAACTCAGAGCATCTGGAAATGGTATGAAGAAGCATAGCTCTGAGATAATGAGTGTCAGAAATATGAGAGCACTTGTGAAAAGAGGTACTGCCAATAGATATCGAGTGAGAAAGAATAACAAATATCTGTACCAGAAACGAAGGAGGGTACCTGATTATTACTACGACAGTTACGAAGATGTATCGAGAAGCAGGTACTATCATAGTTGATAAGGCAAAGATGCAATATTTATTGGTCATTTCAAAAACCTCATAAGTCACTCCATTTGAATTTTTCAGGGGATAATAGAAACTATGTCATTGAAAAATAAACCAGTTCAGAAGAACTTTTTTGGGCATGAGGGGAGGCTGATTGGTCAAATAAGCATTTTGAGGTTGGAAAAATTTGTTTCTAAACTAAATGGTTGAATATTTCGCGTACGGACGTAAATATTTAATAGTTATGGGGTGAAAGAGAACTTTGTATTCCTCTACCTTCTGCTATCCACACACAACACACACGCATTACCGTCATTGCAGTACAATTAACACGGCGGCCAATTTCGCGATAGGACAGACCAATATCTCGATAGGCACTAATTCTACCCCCGTATATGAAAGGGCAATAATAAAAATATCTCTACCACTTTCCTCTCAGAAACTGCTTTCTTCACAAAAACTAAGATATAACATTTTAAAAAAGGTTCTGGGTGTAACACCTCTAATGTCACTGAGTATATATTGATTGACTTTTAGGTACTATATGCCCAGACGAAGGCCAACAAGGCCAAGAAGGCCAATAGACTCCTACGAAGACTTCTACTATTCAGATGAGAATTACGACTACGACTATCCGGAAAAACCTTTGCCTCAAAAAAACAGAAGACGCACTACTACGACTACAAGGCCACGTAGAGTCAGTACGAAGCCGACAAATCGGAGGAGAGTTCCGAGTACAACCCCGTCAGATGAATATGATGATTACGCGATCGAAGTGGTAGCCAGACCTAGGCAAGGGTCAACTACTATAACAAATGGTGAAACCGATCATCCAAGTTCTACCACATCAGGTTCTACTTCAACAACTACAGCACAGCCTTCTACAACTACAAATGCAACAACTACAGGAGGATACGGTACTAATCAAATATCTCACCCTGTTAGATACGCTTGCACAGAACTGAAAAATGGGCGCAATTAGGTGTTAGATTATGCATAGAAATTCAGCATTTTCAGTGGTTTCTCTATGCCTTCGGTGAGGTTTGAGGAAAAAGAAACATGGTAAAGATACAGTAAAATCATTTCAACTACACACATCGTGGCTATTGCGTTTTAATTGACTTTCACTTACTCTTTGTAGTTCTAATGAAGAAAATAAAAATTTTCGAATGCTTTACGTCAACACAGAACAAACCTTATTTTGGCCTGAATTATTATGTGTGGGTGTATCCTAGAGAACTTTTGTATTTGTATTTTGTATCTTAACAAGTCATAGTATCTTCCACCTCTCTTTATAGGTTATGGTTCATCTCATGGTCACGAAGGTGTAAGTATTACCTACGGGCCCCCTACAGGAGGAGGTCATGGATTATATGGACCTCCTTCAACGTCCTATGGGCATCCACATACTCACTATGGTCCACCCAGTACACAGTATGGTACTCCGAATAATGGATTTGGTCCTTCTTCTCACGGGTACTATCAAGTACCTTTTTCAGATTGGTATAGCAACGAGGTATCCAGAGCTTCTATTGCGAAAAAGGCGCAAGATATTATAGGATTTGAAAATGTTTTCAATTGAGAGTTATACTGTAAGAAATAGCAAAATCGATTGGGAAAATCGCAAGGAGATAAAATATTTGGTGAAAGTGTTTCAAAAGTGACACAGTTTTATTAGTGAAATATCGGCAAAAGAAACATTTTTTGTACATAAAAATATACTAAATGATAAAGAAAACGCAACACCCTCTAGGAGTTCTTTAATCCTGACCATACTTTTACAAGTTTTAGGTCCCCTGACAAATAGAAAGTGATTAAAATGTTAACTCGAAATTTCCCAAATAGCTTCATGTCCCATACATGTTCGAGGGGGGAAAGGTCTGGAAATCGAGGAGGCCATTGGAGCCGATTTACTCCAGACGCCTTTCAAAAGTCTAAACTAACAGGAGCGACATGAGGTCGTGCATTGTCCTGCTGAAAAAGTACAATGTTTCCAAAAAGGGAACCAGGTGTGGTGATATAACGCTGAGCAATCATGCTACCTCCAATGAACACTAATGGTGACCTACTGCCGTAAGCAATGGCGCCCCATACCATAACACCCACAGAGCGATGAATATGCCATTCGATGGATAATAATCTTTCACCACGTCTCCTCCCTACTCTTGCACGGCCATCATGTGTGCCCAAATAGAATCTGGACTCATTGCTTAACACTACTGAGTTCCATTCCATATTCCATTTAAGTCTCTTCCTACTCGATACCAATCGTTGCCGACGATGATGTTGGGTCAGAGGTAGTACAAGATGGGGACGGTGTCAACACAGTCCAAAAGTCCTTAGTCGCCGATAAACTGTCCTCATTGGTGTTGCCTTTAAGACAGCATCAAACCACTGGTTCACAACTGCCCTTGTCGTGAAAAATCGATCTTTTTTTTTATACTCCAACAACCACGAAGGCCTAAGGCCTAAGCACCCATTGGGTACCGTGGGGCTATAGGGGGATACATGGGAAAGGGAGGGACGCCACACGGACTCTGGCGAGGGAACACGTGTGCATGCAACATGCACACATTCTGGCTCCGCCTACAAGAACTGCCGGGTGGTACCTCCGCGTTCGACAGTCAGAGACCATCTACCACCTACGGACAATCACAACATCCATAGCCAAGAGAAAAATTTCTCCTGTGACGGGACCCGAACCCGCACAGTGCACGGCGACTGATCAGGAGACCGAAGAGTCTACTACTGCGGCCACCCCTGCTGCCTGTCAAAACGAGCGGTACTTTCCAAGTTCCCAGTTTCAATCTCAGATATCCCCTCCTCCCTGAAACAGACATCTTCTTGAACAATTTAATGGGTCGCCAACTGCGCTTGTTGCAGAAAATCGTTGTCTAAGTGCTAGTAGCTTCAAATGACGATCTTGTCGCTCTGTAGTCTAGTCTTTGACGTCCAGCATCTCTAACTCGTCAATTTCGGCCATCTTGGAAATACGCTCGACAACATCTCATTACAGAAGCTTTGTTTCGATTCTCCCGATTAACGAATTCTCAACCTCAGAAAGTTGAGTTAAATTAGCGCATCTGTGAGCTCTAGGCATGATAATGCAATGAAACAGAAATGAAACAAATGGAACCAACACAGAAAAATCACTGAATATTAAGTAAACATGTTCATATTGTTCGGATCTTGATATGACAAAAATAGCCTCTACAAAAAAAAAGTACGAGTCGGAATGATTTTATCAGCATATACTATATATTAAGTTTTTATTGAAATTCAATAAATAATTCTGGATGTTGCATTTTATATGTCACTTAGTATACTTATGAAACAAATCTATTCAAACTGGCCAACAATGTTTCAATTACAGTTGACTACATGAGAGAAAAAACGCATTTTTAAAAACAATATTTTTAGTTATTAATAAATGACCTAAATATCTTTTTCCGATTGAAAATATGGCGTTTTATGCTTCTCACCCTTCGTTTCAAGTTTTAAAGCATTTTACTTTCCAGCAAGAAGAAGAAGAAAATGTTTAACACTTTTAGTTGAAAACCTGACACAAACGAGTTTCACTATAATTTAACGGCTAAGAGGTATAAAATTCAATGGGAAAAATAGTTTTCTAGTTTTTGACTCGATTACTAACAGCTAAATAAAAGTTTGTAATCAAAATACTTTTTCTTTTATTTATTAAGCTGTAACATGGAATTTTTGTGTCCGATTTAAGTGTTACAAACTTTGTCTCTTATATTAAAGGGACTAAAGAACATTTTCACCAAGTAGTTTGCTCCGTTACAATTCTCTCCGAAATATCTTCCGCCATATGGCCTGGATTATCATTTAGATTTAGAGTATAGATAAGTTAAGACACCTATTGTGTATTTATGTAATAATTTTATTTTTATAAAAATAAAACAGATATTCATTGCGTTGGTTTTTCTGTGGGGCTATTTGAAAAAGTTGATGTATCATGATGGCGCAGTAAATACTCTGGAAGAATTTCAACAGCGCACTTAAGACGGCTCCGACGCAGTGAATTTCAAGCCATTTACAAGGGTTCAGCTGCTTCTAAACTGACACTCCATTTTTTAATATTTTTCAATGAAATTCATACAGTATATTGAGATGATAATTGCCCAGGGTGCTACAGGAGCACTTTTGGAAATTTTGTCTTTGCACAAGTTTTATGACTTCGCGATTTTTTTAAAAAGAACCCAGTGAAAAGATAAAAAAGTGGCTCTATAGCACCCTGTGGGGTTTTGTTTTCAGCACACTGAAAATTTCATCCAAAAATATCAAGAAATAAAGCGTCAATTTCGAAGCGCGCAAACCTCTACAAATCGTATTTTGGACGAATTTTGTACGGACTAAGAAAGGTATTCAGATAATTTGGTGGCCCTATTTCATATAATATCGCGTAGATAAGTCGTTCTGCAAATAGGTACTCATAATCGCGATCGCTGATACTCTTCGATTTTAAAGCCGTTTTACTTCCCACGTCATTGGCGAGGAAGTAATGTAATCGCGAAACATTTCTAAAATGAGATGTTATGTCTTTTTAAGTCATATGACATCTACATCACGAAAAACTGTATCACTCATCATCAACTTGGAAATTACCGCTCGGATTTTTATGAAATTTCCACACGCGGTTACTAGTATGCCAAAGCTTTGTAGTTTTAGTCCAGTGGCAACGGCGCTACAGGCAAAAAAGAAAAAGTAACAATTGCTGCAACTCCGTTTTTGACGATTCAGGGGTTCCTAATTATTTACATAAAAAATTGTACTGCTTAAAAAGGGGGGGTTGAAATCAGTGAAACACGTTCTATTATTAAGAAGCTTCTGATCCCAGTGATTACAGGCAATTTAAGTAACCGACAGTAGGGAAGGATACATTCGGATATCACTCCAGTCAAGTATAGGGGAATTTAGCGTGGAACTTTAAAATTATCGATATGTCAAGGAAATATGTTTTTGAGAATGATAATTTGGTAGATGTTATACCTGCATTGTCATTTGAGTTTCATGACCCGTGAAATGAACCCATTTCGCCGTTACCTTCAATTTGTGTTCTGCAGTTTGTGATGTTTTTCTGGATATAAGCAGGACATGATTGCCTAAGGTGCTATCAGAGGTTTTTACAAAATTTTGTATTTGCGCAAGAATTATAGTGGGTTGAAATGCTTACTATTTGTGCTCAACTTCTTGATATTTTATAAAAATCCTAGCGGATAAAATCGAAAAAGTGGATCGCTGACACCCTGTGGACTTTGTGTTTAGCACGCTCTACTGTTTCGTCCTGCCAGTCCAAGCGTCGTGACGGTGCGTTCCGACTAAAAAAATGTATTCAAATAATTTTATATCTTTCCTAAAATAAATTCAAGAACTCAAATTCAAATACGTTTATTCATGTCAATGAACAATTATGTTTACAAGGGTCATGTTGTAGATGGTAACAATTGAACGAGGGTCATAAAAATATCTTATGCAGTCAAAATAAGAGGAAACAGTTAGGTAGTTCTTGCAAAGCAATAAACAGGTAGGCTTATACCTGGATTAAGTACATGTCTTGTCTACTGGAACCACACGATTGAACTGCCGTGTCCAATGATTCTTGTATCGCCTTTTTTCATTGCCTTACTAGAAAACTCTGTTGGGTATATGATGGAGTTTACTAGAACTTTGCAGCTTGTTGTCTGCCTTCTTATACAAACTTCACCAAATCGAGACTCTGTCAACCTTATCCTCCGTTGAAGACGCCACAAAGTACAGTCCTGTGATTTGGTGACTTGTTCGATCTGCAAAATCTCGTCGTCACTTTTTTTAAGTTTCCCTTAAAATTTTCGCTTAACCACCTCCAAATCAATGTAGTTAATTAAATAAAACTATTCATTGTCTTTGGAATTGCTATCCTAATTCGTTATTTTTATATCAGCTTTTTTTGATCTGAGTTTGTTTTCAAGATTCTTGCGTTTGAGTCTTTGTTCCATCTTAGTGATAAGCGAGTTTGGACTAAGCTTAGAACGCAAATATATTTGGACCACATAGACAGGTGGCTCTGTATTGTGGCTCACACAGCTGCAGCACATCTTCCATGGTATGACCTCTTCTTGCAATAATTTATTCGCTTACCCCAATGTATTTTGCGATTATAGAGTTGAACTGCTCCAAACTATTGTTGTCCTCATCATGAATTAATCTCACTGCATTCGTGATTAAAATTGTCGCATATGACCTTTTATTGTCCATTATTAACCTTGATAAAAAAAGGCACTAAAGAACAATCACACCAACATTGGTGGTGTGACTACTGTTTACTAAGGGCAGCTGCCAAAAATCATTCAAGGGTCACAGTGGTAGTTGATCCTGATGATTATCCCAAGATTATCAGTGAAATGAGGAATAGCCCTAATCAGTGTACCTCTTTGCAGACAAGGCAAAACTTGGCACTGAAAGCCTTCACGCAGACAGCCGAGTACGATCTGGCTATCACAGATTACTGCAGGAAGCAGTTCTCTGCTGGAGCCTCCCAGCTATCTCTAAGATATGGCATGAACCCACACCAAAAGCCAGCCCAGTTATTCACCACTTTTCCAAGACTGCCTTTAACTGTCGTTAATGGGGGGATACATCAATTTATGTGATTCCTTGAATGCCTGGCAGTTGGTTAAAGAGCTTAAGGAAGCTTTGAGTATACCGGCTGCTACCAGTTTCAAACACGTTTCGCCAGCCGGAGCTGCTGTGGGAATTCCTCTGGAAAACAAGGGTAGAACAATACTAAATGATCACTTGCTGAGTACCAAAATAGGAAACGATTTACAGGCTAGATCGCTAATCGAAATCCGACTCTGTTATTATAAAAATTTACCTCGGTACGCACCCGCAGTCATCCTTTCCTCTTTTAAAGAGTAGCGCCGACGGCCGTCTAAGACCAGCCCACCATCGTTTCCTTTTCACCCCCCCCGCTACCTCAGCAGATGGGGCTCGTGATTGTAGGAGCTCCGTTAAAATGCTTGTGACTTAATGCGTGGACACGAGGATTTTAATTTTGAAGCTTGTAAAGAATCGTATTCGTACAAATGGGGACAATTTTGAACAGTTTTACAAGCAGTTAAAATAAATGACACAACTTTGAAAACATCTTAATGAAATTAAAAAAAGTAAAATCAATTGGAATTATAGTTTTTGATTAATTATTTATAAGCATTTGACAGATTTTTTTCAACCACCTGTTTGCAGCAGTATTCTAAATACTTTCCATCTGATAATTTCATGGTGTGTATAGAGATGACTAAAAAAGAATGTTTACATTTTTTTGTCAAAAAATGGATTTCTCGATTACACCAGTTATTGTTCTCAATGCCCTTTTCTGTAATATAAGAACCCTCTGCACATTACTTGATGTTCCCCAAAAAATAATGCCATTGTCGGAACCTCCAGATTGCAAAACAAACAGATGACAAGCTTTCACATAGTCTGCTTATGTGGTGCTGCCAGTGAAGAGCTACATCAAGATGAATTCCTAGAAACTTTGTGTTTGTTACTTGAACCAACGACTTGCCATTGACCTTGACTAATTGGCTCTCATTTATTGTGCTGGAACAAGGAGTAAAATTCATGAAGATAGTCTTTTTTGCGTTCAGTGACAATTGATTGCTAGAAAAATAGCTTGTAAATTCATTTATTATGCATTGTAGTTTATCAATGCATGATTTTATATTGCTTTCAAAACACAGGTAGGTGTTATCGTCAGCATACATAACCAAATCATCCGTGATGCTACCCACTCCTGGCAAGTCGTTCATAAACAGCAAAAAAAAGTAATGGGCCTAGGATCGAGCCCTGAGGTACACCGATCTCGACATCACGCCGTAAAGAATAACATCCATCAACATCCACAGTCTGCTCTCTTAGAGCAAGATATGATATGTCCCAATCGTGTATTTTTCCACGTAATCCATAATTATATAGCTTAAAACTTAAAATTTGATGACTGACCATATCAAATACTTTACTCGGGTCCATAAACAGTCCTATGCACTTTTCTCCCTTATCTAAACATTCATACAATTTGCTAATGAACTGTAGAATAGCCGTCTGAATATTCCTTTGTTTCCTAAAGCCATGTTGACAGCGTGCCAAAATATCTTTTTCCTTGAGGAAGGCTATTACTTTTTCAAATATACCTCGCTCTGAAATCTTCGAGACTGCGTTCAGAATAGATAATGGCCTATAGTTGCTTATCTCCCCCTTCTCACCATTTTTAAAAATTGGCACCACTCGGGATGTTTTAAAAATTTTGGGGAAAGTGCCTTCAACAAATGAAACGTTGACAAGGTGTGTAAGCGGATAGACAATAAAATTTACAGCAGTAACTAACAAATTGTTAGAAAAAAAATACCATCCATTCCAGCGTTTCTCAAACTGTGGGGCGCGCCTCCATAGGGGGACTTGTCAATATTAAAGGGGGGCGCGAGCATATAAAAAAAACACTAACAGCATTGAATAATTTACTAAAAGGAATACTAAATTCAAAATAAGATTAATAATATTAATTGTAAAAAATAATAATCATTGCTAGGGAGGAATTCTCTACCAAATTCAGCCAGATGTAGGCTTTCCATTTTTTTTATTTTCATCACTTACTTAAAACCACCTCCATTATACTAGTATTAGAATTGAGAATACGTATTCAAGATCCTTTTGTCGGATCTATTTTTTTTATAGAATAATTTTATTTTGGATCACATTCATGAGGAACACTAAATAATTTTTCGTTGTCATAATTTAAAGCACAAAGGAAGGTTGTCCAATCTAATTCTGTTGAACGAAAAAAATACAAGTTGTAGACGCCAGAACTGCGTGCCAAGTACATAGAAAACTAATTTAAAATAAGAACCTCGCAATACTTTTGAAGTGATAAATGAT